TTATTCGATTTTAATAAGACATATTAGGGTGTGTTTAGATTACCTAATTAGTTGCAACTGCTAAAGATCAAGGGCGAAGCCAGGAATTTTAGTCAGTGAAAGCTAGCTTTTCAAATCTTAAAATAATGTATTGTAATTTTGAAAACTTACTTTCATATTATATATTAAAATAATACTTGACGAGTTTTCATGTCACCAAATTTATTTATAATATTGTATACACTAAACGACTAAACTATTTTCTTTTCAATATAAACAACCGAAGGGTTTGAGAGAGATTCATCCTCTATTTTGCTGCAAAGTCTTGTTTTCGTAATTTTCATAGTAGAAATTACTTTTTCTGTTATTGCTATAGAAATGAGAAGAATAAACATCAAAATAATTAACTTGTAAATAAGACTATAGACCTCTGATTTTTTTTGTCTTCACAAGCCATTGACATAATTCAGAAATACGACAACATCCTATCTCTTCACCCTACCACTTTCTACAAGCAAACAAATTTTTTTTTCTCTTTTTACTAGCTAATTACACTTTATATGAGTTTATTTTTCTTTTATACTAATTTAGGTTTCTATTGTTTTTCTCTATAGGATTATATTTAAGGTTTTTCCTTTTATTGAATTTATATATGTTCCCTTTATGAATTTGTACTTTTTTTTAAAATTCCGATCCAATTCTACTTCATATAACTTTAGTATTACCATAATATTCAATTTTATTTGTAATCTCAACAACTCTAAAATCCAAAAAAGAAATTATACAATTTTTTGTGATAATAAAAAATCAATAAGTTTCATTACTTAAATATTACCCCCTCCAAACTAGAATAATAGATTTTTTTGTTTTATCTTCAAATGAAATATTTGAAAGCAATTTTTATCTTTACCTATTTTATACTTAAAAAATAACTAAAAATAAATATCTGCTTCCATCAAAAAATAAATAATTAAAGTTAAAAGATAATTATAGGGTTAAAGTAGAAAAAAACTATTTATCTTCCTCAAAATAAAAAAATGATTATCATTCTGGGATAAATTCTAAATAAAAAAATATCAATTATTCTGGAAAAAGAGAGTATACTAATTTTTTTGTTAAAACATATCTACTAACAAGTATAAAACAAAATTTTAAAATGAAATAAAAAAAACTCACAAAACTTTAACGTTAAAACTCAATATGACAATATATGATTCATATAATAAAAGATAGTGTTGTTTTTAGTCTTTATAAAGAAGTTAGTGGTCCCTTTGGTGATTCCTTAATTTGTCTTCAAACTTTCAATGAGAAGAGCTGTGTTGCAAT